CACCAGGCGACAGCACGGACCAGGACCGAGACAGGGAGCAAGACCCGAAGCCCTTCTGAAATCCTCTTCCCTCCATCACCCCCCCCAGTCTCAGTCCCAGGCAGCCAGTTTGTCATCAGTTGTCAGTCAGTCAAAGAACAGGTGCAGGAATCGGAGTGAGAGCAGTAGCAGAATCCTGTGAAGCCTGTAAGCAGTTTTGTCTGAACCAAGAATAAAACAAGCAAAGAACTGGATCTAGACTCTTTTTTTGATCTTATGGATTGCATAAGCCAGACCTGTTTCTTGATTCAAAACAATCTAAATAAAATAACAGATTTTTTTCTTTACCCTCCGATATTTTCATGCCTTTTACCTGATTACAGCCAAATCGTTTTTTCATGAAATTATTTTAATCAACCATTCCAAACAGAAAGATTGCTTTAGAAAAAAACAGCTAAAACTTTCCTTACAAAGCAGACATGGTAGAGATGTTCCTCTCTTTAACCATATTTATCATAGAATACCAATTACTGGTTTGAACTATAGAACATACTAGAACTCATCTTCTGCTTTATCTGGTCGTACCGGGTCATTGGTTCCAAAGTTTCAGCACCATTTTATTGAGCAACAAACACTTTAAGCAAGAAGGATTTTTAGATAAAATATTTTTATAAACTGTATGACACCAAAGCAAAAATGTTAAAATCAAGCTTTCCTTAAGGAGAAATAGGATAGAAGTACTGAGAAGGAAAACACATTAATGTAGTGAAGGAGAATATGCAGATGGTTATCAGGTAGTGGATGGTAGATGTTGGTGGAAGAGAGTCACATGATCAGTGGCGCCATCTAAAGGAAGCAGCTGTGCAGAACATGGTAATATGGTTAATAAACCAACAGGTTTTCCTGTTGGAGATGTTTAAAAAACTAAAAGGATTTTATTTTAGATAAAAGCCTCAGTTACAAAAATAAAAGGCTGTAAAACTGAGAAAATCTGTATTTCACAGGTAAATTATAGTGAAATACAATTCCAAAATAAAATCTAACCTGTTAATAGATTCCTTGGGGGCCCATCGTTGGGCCCTTGACCATTAAGGGACCAACTTGTAACCTAAAAAGGCACCAGGGCCTCCAGACCCACATCTGGTATGATCTGGTTGAACTGTAAAGTGCCTTGAGATGACATGTGTTGTGAATTGGTGCTATATAAATAAACTGAATTGAATTGAATCTGATGGGTAACCTTGGTGGACAGAACTAGAACATCTGAGGCTGATGGAACCATTTTAACATCTTCTTTCTTTGGTGTAAGGTCAGATTTCTGCACACAGACACACATTCGTCTCTCTCTATCTATGTTAACATTGACTCACATTCATTTTAGTTTCATTTATGCTGAACCCTGACATTACCCTAACCATTACCAGTACCAGTATATCCCCAACCCTAACCTATTTTTAATTCACATCCTGTCTTTAAATGGCCTTCGTAACAATAAAAACGAGAGTCCACCAAATTAGGACCAGCAGCCTCTGGTCCCATTAGGCCTGTTGGTCCTCAGAAGGTTAGTAAATATACTAAAAATGGTCCTCAGTAGGTAACACAAAGCATTTCACACACACAGCCACAGTTTCCAGGAAGAGGGTGGTCTTTATTCAGCAGCAGCTCCTCCAGCAGAGCATGATCAGTGGTCAGACCAGTGAGAGCTACAATGATGGAAACATCTCTTCATTATCTGCTCTGTAAGTAAAGAACCTGCCTATGATTAGAGAAAGGAATCCACTCATCTGATCAAAGATTAAATAACTCTCTACATTTATACATTGGCTTTTGTCTTGCTTTAAAGTTAACTTTTATAAAAGACATAAATCTTTATTTTCCTGCAGAAATCAGATTATGTTTGTTTGCTATCATTGAAACTTGTAATGCTGTGTTTTTTCTTAGTGCTGATAAAGAGTCATTTCAGCTTTAAAATGTTTGTGCTGTGAATAACTGACTGTTATGGTCTGATGTAAAATTGTATGAAAATATTTCCGTATATTTCTGGTATAACCAATAAATGTGAATTCTTTTCAGTTCTGACTTCACTGGTTTGCCTCATAACTGATACAGGTTGGTTCATTTCTACCAGGATTAAAACTCTTCAGACAAAATAAAGGATTTTAATATTAGAGATGGAGAATAAACATTAGAAAACTTTTATTCCTTCCAGCTGCTCTGACTGTGAGTCCCAGCAGATCTCAGTTCTTTCAGTTTGACTCTGTGTTTCTGAGCTGTGAGGAGAACAACAGCTCTGCTGGATGGACTGTATGGAGGAACACA